CCACCTGGGGCAGACCTGAGTTACAGGAACATGTAGTTTTTTGTTTGTTTGTGTTTTGTTTTTTTTTTTACATATTTTTTTTGTATTTATATAAATCATATGCCAAAAGCATGAATCCCAATTTTCCAGCTTTAATAAAATGGAGATGGAAAAAAAATTTTTTTAAATTATTATTATAGTTTAAGTTCTAGGGTACATGTGCATAACGTGCAGGTTTGTTACATATGTATACTTGTGCCATGTTGGTGTGCTGCACCCATCAACTCGTCAGCACCCATGAACTTGTCATTTACATCAGGTATAACTCCCAATGCAATCCCTCCCCCCCCATCCCAGGAACATGTAGTTTTTATCAGACAGAAGCATATCACATTTATGAGCAAAATTAAATCAATTATGGGGGAGGTTTGTGTTGTAAAATTTCTTTTCTTAAACTGAAGCACATTTTCCTCAAAATACATCTAATATACTGCAAAATAAACACAAGAACAAAAGATCATTGTATACGGTAGTGTGGACATAGACTAAATTCACATCCTTTAAGCACTCTTATGAATCCTGTTACAAGCTTTTCAGTCCCAAATCAGTTAGTCTTGTTCAGCAGGATCCTGCCTCTTCGTCTACAGTTTTCTTTCAGCTTTTGGTCCTGAGCCGGCCTGAGACTGACCAGCCAGCCCAGCCCCCCAAATCCCCACCAGCGTATGACCTTGTCCAAACAGCCCTGTGCACGTGCCTGCAAAGGTGACCCTATGTAATACACAGAATCTGCACCCTATTAATCTGCCACTGAACATCTGGGGTTAATGCCCAGTATGATTATTTGTGCACTTCTTTTAACCAGTGACCACATGGAGCTTTTTATGTGTCTTACTGTAATTTACTTATTAATACCTTACTAATACCTTAGATAAAGTAGCCTATGTTAGAAATATTCCCTCAGTGGTTAACTAGCATGATCTCCTAAAAACTGTCTGTCTTTGTATTATTTTGATTATACAGGGGAGTCCCGTGATGTGCTCATGGGGACTTGGGAGTGTAACGGGGCAGAGGGGTAAGGAAGGAGCATCTTCATTTACCTAGTTAGGAGATCCAGCCAAACTAGATCTCAACCCCAGCTACATCTAAGCAAAGGGAGACCACAGCTGAAATGCAAAGAAACAAATTCGCGAAAGTCCGCAGGCCTGGCTCTGGGACATTTTCAAGAGTGATGATGACTGTGTATGCAGTGTTTGCCTCCAGAACTTCACCCAGTGCGAGATGAAGAAGGAAAAGTCAGCATTTGATACACTGTTGTACTAAGTGGCCAAGGTACCTAAAATAGGCAGGACATAGATGAAAATCCACATTTATAGTGGGAATTCAGACTCCCAGCTCCTAAAATGATGACTGTAAGTGTCATAAATCCTGCCCCAACTTCAGATTGTTATTTTGAACTGTTCATTTAGATGTCATCATTTAAAAATCGTATTACTTCAGTAATCACTAAATCTGTAAATTAACATACTCGCTTTCTATTTTGGCTTGAGTATCAAATTGTGACTCTGTCAAGAGAAGTGTAGTTTTCAAAACGATATTCATTTGGAAGAGTGTTGGTTTCTGTCATAGCTATCAGTAAGCAGAGAGATCTCATTTAAACCAGAGCCAGTAAACTAAGAGATTCAATGATACAATTAAAGAGTTTTATCCTGTTTTAAAATATATGTACAAAGATGTGGATCATTATATGATAGTAATCCACTGTGGTTATACTTATCAAATGGAGGAAATAAAAAGATTTCATAGTGAAAATGTGAGATTAGTGAACGTCATCTTTTCTTCGTGTTTCAGAAAACAAAGCTGCCCTCTTTTGTTCTTTTAAGGCGTTGTTGCCTTGCGGCACCTGGCACACGTAGATAGCATTGGTGCTCGTTCACTCCTGGCTCAGAAATCTGAATAGGAGACAGGCCGAGAAGAACAGGAAGGACAGAGCCCAGTCACCTGTGCCCCGGCTGCCGCTGCCACCACCGCCTCCACTAGTCAGACTACTTCCTCCTTTGTAACGTGCTTGCATAGGGGTGAGTTCATGTTCCTTGATCTGGAAAGAACAGTTCAAAATAACAGTATTTGGCAGTAGAAAGTGGAATGGGAAGCAGTGACAGCGTCTGCATTGGAAGTCTCTTAGCTCTGCAGAAACCTCCAGATGCTTAGTTGTTAGGAGTTGTGGCAGATACCAGAAACAGCAGCTGTACCTGTCTCCTGAATCCTACCTTCAAGGTCCTGTTAAAACACTGTCCTTTACCCTCCTGAGCCCCAAGAGCCCCCTTCCTCCCGTACCCCTAGCAGCCAAGTCCTGCCTGATGCTGTCTCAGACAGCGCTTGCTCTGTTCTCTCTCATGTTTTACCATGTTCAACTTTATAGGATAGGTATTTGTGCATATGTCTCGCCTGCAGAGCGAACCTTCAGATTCCTACACATGGAGGGGGCTCAGTGAGTAGGTATTGAAACAGCTGGGTCAGTGTTATCCAGGTCACCCAACTCCTGAAGGTACCACATGAATGATTAGAAGACACGGGTGTGCTGAGCACATCGTGGCAAAGTTTCAAACCCACTTTCTTCATACAGGGATAAAATATCTCTGAATCAACACCAGTCATTTTAAATGAATTCTTACATACTGTTTTGTTTGTTCTGACAAATATCTATTGGGCACTCATTGGGTGCTTGACACTCCAGATACAAGAGTCCTTATCCCAATGAAAAATGCAAACTCCCAGCTAAGCAAATGCTGCATGAAAAGTGCTGTAAACAGAGTTCTTAGAAAATAGTATGAGCGCGTGAAGAAGGGAGTGGCCAGTGCTGCCTGGTAGCTCATTCAGGTCAGTGTTTCTCAAACTGAGGTCCACGTTCACAGGATGAATCAAAGGGAATGTCTCAGAGGTCAGCGTTTTAAGTACCTGTTTAATGGTATCAGAATCAAACTGAGATTATATGAGTACTGTCCTTCCCCTTCCTGTCTTGCCATTAAGAGCATCTGAACCACCCTAGACCCTCAAATAGCTGTGAGTAGCTGCTTCTGTAAGATAAACTTGGATTTTTTTTAAAAATGGCTTTCAAATGATACAGGAGCACTTAGCAAAAATCCAAGATGAGTTCATTTAGAACAAAAATTCTAAATGCAGCATAGCATATGCAAAATAAAACTCTGGTTATGAATAAAACTTCATCTTAGATTATGATGGTAAAATTCTCTCAATCCTAATATTGTCTGCACTGAATCATTCAACAAAGACTTATTGAGTGCCTGTTATGTACCACCTCTGTTCTGGGAACTAGGGATGTAGCCTCCAGCTCAGACCACCTCCTCTGGAGACCTGGAACCAGCAAGCAGCAAAATGCAGAAGTCGAGGGAAAGCCTGACAGCATAGCTCGTATAGTGATATTCACCACAAATTCAGAGACCAAACGTGGAATGGCAAAGTGAAGCAGAGCCGTGAGATGATTTTCTGGATATTCCAGTTAAGAGTTCTGTTTTGGAGGGACCAGGCCCAAACTCCTTCCTGTGTCATCCAAAGAATTTAAGCCATGCTCTGAGCCCTGTTTACTTTAACCATAGGTGGGGTGGCATGTTGAAAAGTGATAGGACAAAACCAAAAATAACCATTCTTACTATCCGGGAGAGAAATTAATCCCAGATCCTCACATTTCTGATGTGATTTAGAAACTATAAAGCAGGACCAGTTTTGCAAAGTGATGAATAGGAGATCTAAGAATCAGCTTCGATAGCATCTTAATTCAGTGAGGTTTTTGTCAGACTTTTTTCCTAGAAACAGTTTACCAGTTGCATTTCTTCATATTAAAGTTATTATTTTACAGCTACCATGTCATAACCAACAATAAACTAAATGACTTAGTAGTGCAGGTTATGACTAATGAACTTTAGTCTATTCCACAAGAAGTTACTGAGTGCCTGCTCTATGCCAGATCCTAGAGAAAGTCTGAGCTTCGGGATCAGGAAGGGCTGCAAACTAATAAATAATTCTACTACAGTGTAAGAAACAGAATCATATGTCTGCTAAATGAACAGCAGGAACAGAGAGTTGTAGCCACCTCCATGGGCAGCAAGGAGTTAGGAGATGAGTTCATTTGGAAGGCTTTGTAAAGGAAAAGGTATGAACTGGGTTGAAAGATTCAAAGGCGAGTTGTCAACCTCGTGGCATGCTGTTGGAGAAGGCGTTCTGAGCGCCAAGCGTGTGCAATAGCGTCCAAGGTGAAAGGCGCCTTGGATGTCTTCTGCTTCCTTATCCCAGTCAGGAAGTCCCTGCCAGGGAAGCAGTGTGCTAGCATCTTGGTTTTCCAAGGGTGATCTGGGACATAGTGTCACATTTTCCTCCCAAAATTAGGGATGGGGAGTGGATTTAAACAGCCTGGGAAACCTGCTCATCATTTTTACTTATTTTATGTATTAGTTTACAAAAGTTTTCACTGGGGGGAAAAAAATAGCTCCGCAGCTAAAAGCCACTGGCATAGTAGAAGGAATCAGGGGTCTTCTGGGGTATCCTCGTATTTGTGTCCTTAGGTGAAAGAAATTAGTGTATGAGAAAGTGATCTATAACCGTACTGCACTGAGCGCATTTGAATTATTTCTCAATCATTTTTTTATGATCTCTTTGGGCTTTAGTTCCTTTGTTTATAAAATGAGGCTATTTCATTCAGAAGTCTCAACTCCCTGTTAGCTCTAGATTGATAGGATTTTGTGGTTATCCAGCCTTCTCGTGGCTATTTTCTTTCCATTGCTTTTGACAAGGCTCAATATTGCAATTAGAGCATCTTGTTTTGTAAGTTGTAACTAGTCCTTGGTTTTATAAATAGCAGATACTGGCACACAAAGAAAGCCAAGCGTGTTTTCGTTTGTAGGAGATGTACATTTCAGTAGCTAGTGATGTTTTTTTTGTTGCTCATGTACCCAAAGTCAAATGCTTCAAATCTTGCTTTTAATGAAATATTTATGTTCTTTTGGTAGCCAGAAGTACAACTTGCTGAAGGCTTTGATGTGTTTATGCCTAAATCTCAGCTGGACTCTATATTGTCAAACTACACTCGCTCAGGAAGCCTTCTGTTTAGAAAACTGGTGTGTGCGTTTTTTGATGACAAGACTTTGGCTAACTCCTTACCCAATGGGAAGAGGAAAAGAGGACTCAATGACAACCGGAAAGGACTAGACCAAAATATTGTGGGTGCAATAAAAGGTTGGTCTGCATCATTTCATTTTGTGGGTTCTTTGTTGAGCTTTGCCTTCATTCCATAACGATGCAGCTGAAACTGTAGTAAACTGACTAGTGGCCAATTTCATTTGCCATTGGCAATTTAGCCATTCACATGGCTTTCGGGGTTGAGCTCTGTAATTCACCACCCCAAATACCACTAGAATTCATTATTCAAGGTAATGTTAATTTGTTAAAATAATTAAGAGCCAGTTTGATCTGCTGCAGAACCAAAAATAAGTTTTTTCTTGACTTTTAAAATGCAGGTAATTTGTAATTTCTAACTAAGAGCTTCCTCAAAATATGACTTCAACTTCAATTTTTAGTTATGAGAATAAAGCTATGATGCTTTAAAAAAAAAAAAAAAGATAAAGTAAAATGGTTCTCCCCAAAGTTTAGAGTTGTTTACCAGGTTGTTGCTTCTAAAGACATTTTAAATCTAAGTGACCTTACTGTGACATCAAACCCTGTGCATCCCCACATGTGCTTGACCTGCTCTTCTCCCTCTTGTTTTGTGCCATGGAGTCATACTAGCTCCATGCAGAGACCACCGTGGGTCTCTCCCTCTTACCTCCTTTGAGCATGCGTCTGTATTCCACTGCACTATGGTGACCACGCACGTAGGAAGAAAAAGGAGCACGTGGGAGCGCCTCTGCCTTTATATGCAGTGCCACATCCTAAACCTACTTCTCTTAACTTTAAAACATCCATATTCAGCAATCGGATGAATATAACTTTAGGAAATAGAAGTACTTAGTTCTTACCAAAAAGAACATAAACCAAGTCTCAAATCTAAACACAACTCCATGAAAATGAAACTCTGAATCAGGCCTTGCTTAAAACTGGAATAACGATAGGGGTGCTGTGCTTCGTAGCTCAGTTCCTGCATTGTTCAGTTGTGAAGTGGGACTGACTCAGAGGGGCCTTCTCTGCCCCCTTCTGTTCCCCATTATCTGGCAAAATGAGTCAATGAATTCAATAGTGTTTGAAGGATGCTTGAAAATCCACAATTAACTTTATAAAATAATACGGTATTTAAATGGAACTAGCAAGTACCAGGCACCCTTTGTTCGTGGCCAGAAGGACATAAGCCTTCATTAACAGAGAATTTCTCGTGCTCCATCAGAATTTTTTCACTTAAAGTGACAGTTGAGTTGTATTAAATACGAAAAGCTACAGAGATACAACAAACTGTGCCATTTCTGAAAAAGAATGATTCAGCCTGAAGTGACACTATGAACAATGTGACAAAATTTGAAAAATGGTCAGTGATGTAAGTAGGACTTCCTGAAGTGAAGAAGGGACCCTTCTCAAAACAGGAAGGTCAAGGCTACTGATGCTTTTCTGAAATACAGCCAGAAATTGTTTTAATTTTCTTTTTTTCCCCCAGGGCAGCATATTAATATTATGAAAGCATTTGGAAATTAGGGAGCCATAAATGACCATAGTCCATTTTAATGACGGTAGAAGAGTTATCCTAATAATAGATGGTAACGAAGTAGATCGTGACAAGTGGATCGATGTGGGTTTCTTCTGCCATTTTCCATCTAGACTGGACATCATGCAAGAGTTTGAAAAAACGTATTACAGGCCGGGCGTGGTGGCTCACACCTGTAATCCCTGCACTTTGGGAGGCTGAGGCAGGTGGATCACCGCAGGTCAGGAGTTCAAGCCCAGCCTGGCCAACGTGGTGAAACCCTGTCTCTACTAAGAATACAAAAAAATTAGCCAGGCGTGGTGGTGCACACCTGTAGTCCCAGCTACTTGGGAAGCTGAAGCAGGAGAATCACTTGAACCTGGGAAGCGGAGGTTTCAGTAAGCCAAGATCGTACCACTGCACTCCAGCCTGGGCAACAGAGCCAGACTTGGTCTCAAAAAAAAAAGAAAAAGTATATTACAAATAGAGGACACACCTTCATTTCCTTCACTGCTCTACTCTATAAAAATGGCAATGAGGTCTTTGCTCCCAATATATAATAAAGTAGATTATTCCAGTTGAAGAACTTAAAATTTCCATACACTTTTGTTATTGAATTAAATCTATTAAAATTCTGTAATAACAACCCAGTCACTTTAAAACAGATGGAAATCCCATAAGCCACCAACAACCTAAATCAACAAATAGTTTACATTTATTTATTTGCAGTGTTTTTATTTGCAGTGTTTATTCATGGACATATATTTTGATTTTGATTTTTTTCCTGATTACAAAAATAATATTTATTTTAAAATAGAAATGATTTAAAATGTATAGAAAACAAAAAGGCCACCCTAATCTCACTCCTCCAAGATTATGGCGTACATTCTTACCATTTTTATTCAAACGTGAATATGGTATCAGATTGGACTCTTTTATAAAAACATTCCATTCATTCTGGCTAGTCAACATTTCTACATGACTTATTCTGATAATTTCTTGTAAGTTTCTTAAGGACACGCTTTGTCTCAAATATGTTTCTATTACCTGTTGCTCTTGAAAGAGCTCAGGTGATGCTTCCTTAAGAAATGCTGCTTTGGTATGCAGATTATTTCAAATTGTAGGCACCTGGGGAACAGCAGCTGCAGGGAGGGGCTCTCTCTGAACTCCCTTATCTGCCCAAAGACTGATCCTCCAAAGGGAACTCAGTTGTGAACTCCCTCCCTGGAAGTGTCATGAACCAGTGAGAATTAACTCTCATCACAAGAGAGGACACTGGCGGTGACACCACACCCAGAGAGACTTTGTCACGGGCTGTCACCTGTTCTTCTGAGGGCCCATTCATCATTCCCCAAAACCATTTACTCTCCCCTAATTTGTCTGCTCCATGCTCCCTCCCCTCTCCCTATAAAGAGGGTATGTATGCTTCTAGATCTCACTCTTCTTTCCTGTGGTGCCCCTGTGTACTTTTCTCCTGTTAACTTACCCGCTATTGGTTTATTTCATAGACTCGACTGAACCCTCAGAAGGTAGAAGGAAAGTCTTCCCTACCCTGCACACATTGTTGAGAGCTTCCCACAGACCAGGATTTCCATAAATGCACGTGGGATAAGTGAAGAGGCATAGGTTTTTATTTTTCATCTTGACTTTGATGTTAATTTATTGACATACTGGGTCTAGTACTAAACATCCATCCTCACATCTTCTTGAATAACTAATCTGGAATGACTGACATTGAAACATTGTTGTAAATTTCTACCAGTTAATAAAATGCCAATGAAAGCTAAAACATAGAAACCAAAATTGAATATAAATTTGAATGCAACTCTCTTAACTTCCTAATACATTTTTTCTTTACTATATTTTCCTTAGTTAAAAGTGGGTTAACCCACATATTACAATACAAAGTGATTTTCAGAAGTAGCTATTAATTGAAGGTCTTTTCTTTTTTAAAAAAATCTCTACCAATAGCAAAAAAAAAAAAAAAAAAAATTCCCTAACCTGAGTCTTTTGAATCTGAGTACTATGAGGAAGTGATAAAATGGTTTCTTTAGGCATAGTAGTGCCAAGGCTATCCTTGCTATTATTACTGTCTACCACCCCTTGGAAACGATTTTGTAAATATTAAATATACAGTCTTTCTTACTCGATCTCTTGTGGGATAATGTCCCAATAGTGTATTAATTTGAAAAGTCCTATTTTCTAGGAACATATGAAGACTGGTTAATTTTACAAAATCTCAGAAATGAAAATAACAGTAGGAGTTCAATTTTGTTTCAAACAAAAGTGATTATTAGATTGGTTAAAACAACAATGGGAAAAAAGATGAATGAAAATCTATAAAATGCTTGTAAGTAGGAACAGAAATGGACTGAAAAAAAGTTTGTTTTGGGAATTATTGACAAAGCTTTTTGTACCGGTAATTAATAGTCCCCATGACAGTATCTTAAAAATAAAATATAAGCCTCTTTTGTAGAGATCATAGTTTTTACATAATCTCATCTGTATTATGGTGACTAACAATTAATGATAATTTTTTAAAAATGTATTGATAAGTATGACTCAAGGTATTGCTGATGAAAGAGTTTTTAATTAGAAATGTTCACCTGAGCATTATGAATGTAACTAAGAAGAAACAACTTATGATCCTACTAAGTAGCGTCTTAGATTTTAGTGCTGGGGATAAAGCTTAGTATCCTGAATTTGATTCAGAATTGATTTTACAGCCAGAGTGGAGGTTAGTACCCAGGTATGTTTTCCTTACCTGCTGAGGCTAGAATTGGTCCACATCTAGTTCTTGCTGTGATATACTCAGTAGACCATGTAGATTAACATGGTTAGAGTTGTCTAAATATGATAGAATCTTTGAATCCCTGAATGATCTTCAGAAAATACAGTTGCAATGAAGCAATTTTTAGAGCCCCTATTGTAGGATTTTTAATTCAACTTCATAGTGATGAGTTGAGAAAGTTTTATTACTATTAAACTGTCCTGGAGTCTTGAATCTTCTTGCATTCAGTGGAAATTACATATGCATGTCAAGTGAAGACCTTGTCGGGGGTTCTTAGTTCACTCCACGCAGCACAAACTGCCACTCTCCTGAGAGGCCAGCCTTGATAGTCTGTCTGGACAGCCACAGGTATCAAAACTTCTCTGGGAGGGAGCACTCCTTGGTAGCCCTCCAAAAAAATAACTGTGCCTCTTACAAGATTAGAATGGGTGCCTGGCCACTTTTGCTGTCACACTTTCACAGGCTCTGCAGAAATGACCACCAAAACCTCTTGTTTTATTCTTGTGACTCTAGATACCTGTAGGGTCCATATTTGTCATTTTATAGTATCTCTGTTTCCATTAGGATTTAATCAAAAAAAGTGAATAGCTGTTTTCTATTTGATCTCACGTAGATTTAAATTAATATGGTTGGGGTGGAATTTGCATTCGATTTATTTATTTCTTGATAGTAACTTATCTGTGTTCTCAGAACTCCTTATAAGAACAAGGTTAAAACATTAGCTTGGATTTGAGTACCCCTGCAATGTTGATTATTTTATTTCCATTTATAGGAGAGGACACTGAGGCCATGGGAAATTAAGTAACCCCATTTAATTTAAACAGCTAGTAAGCAGTGGAATCAGGACTTCACCCAAGGCCTGTCTGACTTCCATTCCATTTTGCAGCACGCTAAACACTTTAGTCTTTCTAAAAGGAGTATATGAAAGGAAAGAAAGATTTCTCAGTTTTTAATTTCCATCTTAAACTCTAGCATTTTGGATTCTTTATAAATTCTGCTAGGACATATAAATGATTTCAGATGACCAGTCAGTTGTTTATGCAAAGCATATTCAAAGTGATTTTCTTTTTAAAATATAGCTATACATCAGTTTTTTTACTAGTGTCAGGGCAGGTCTTTTCTTGAAGATAGTGAGAATCAGCTCCATTGTGCTTGGGAGGAAAAAAGAAGTCTGATCCCTTCCGTCAAGAAAGAGATACTTCTGAGACTCTTCAGTACATAGAACCACAAGGAAAGAGTTTGGGAGTAAACATTTGATATAGCTTGTGTTCCAAAGTTGTATGTAAATCAAATTCTAGTTTAAATGTTTGGCAGTCAGAACCAAAGTGATGGATGCTGAAAGAATCTTTGGGAAGATGACTAATCACCTGTTAATTTACTTGTTCATATTTTCACATCCGATCTGCTTAAAACAGGATATAATTACATGATACATAACATCAGTATAATTACATCAGAAATATTGCTTGCCTTTCGGCTGTGTTTGTATCTCTCACCTAGTTGTTGTTGTCGTTTGTATTTTCCCATGTTTTATAAAGGCCCAGTGACAAAGAGGTCATGTGGAATCTTGGCTGTTCTCTGTGTGTAGCCCTCTACTTCCAGCCCCTTCCACGGTGGTTCTCATATTTTAGTGTGCATCAGAATTTCCTGGAGCGTTGGTTTGAAATTCAGACTTCTGGGTCCCATGCTCAGAGATAGATTCAGTAGGTTTAGGGTAGTCCCAGAAATCTGCATTTTGAACACACAGCCACAGGGGATTCCGATTGCTTTCAGATGCGCCTGGGAGCAGCAGCCCCTACAGTCAGAGCTCCCGAATCCATCAGTGATGACAGGTATCAACCCGAGTCTAACAGCGATGATGGGTATCAACCCAAGCCCAACAGCGATGACGGGTATCGACCCGAGCCCAACAGCGATGACGGGTATTGACCCGAGCCCAACAGCGATGACGGGTATCGGCCCCGAGCCCAACACCGATGACGGGTATCGGCCCCAAGCCCAACACTGATGATGGGTATCGGCCCTAAGGCTGACAGTGATGATGGGATCGGCCCCGAGGCTGACAGTGATGACGGGTATCGGCCCCGAGGCTGACAGTGATGACGGGCATCGGCCCCGAGGCTGACAGTGATGACGGATCGGCCCTACAGTGATGATGGGTATTGGCCCCGAGGCTAACAGTGATGATGGGTATTGGCCCCAAGGCTAACAGTGATGACAGGTATCAGCCCCGAGGCTAACAGTGATGACGGGATGGGCCCCGAGTCAGTGATGATGGCTATCGACCCCGAGTCTAACAGCGATGACGGGTATCGGCCCCGAGGCCAACAGCGATGACGGATATCAGCCCCCAGGCCAACAGCGATGATGGATATCGGCCCCGAGGCCAACAGCGATGACGGATATCGGCCCCCAGGCCAACAGCGATGACAGGTATCGGCCCTGAGGCCAACAGCGATGATGCCCCGAGGCCAACAGCGATGATGGGTGTCGGCCCCGAGGCTAACAGCGATGATGGGGTTAATGGGTATCAACTATACACAACAACCCCTGTGAAGCCTGGGCTCCTTCAGCTGTTTCTCACCGTCACCGAGTTTTCTGAAGGCTGCTCCACCTCTCCTGGAATCAGTGAGAAGGAAGGTAGCCTTGTCTCAGCTGCCCTCATTCTTTGAACCTTGGGCATTTAACTCTTTTTTTGTGTGTTATGTGACACAAGGGTCCAGGTTTCAGACATGGCTACAGTGCCTCACTAGGACTAGACGGAATAGCCACCCACATCACCAAGGTGGAAGAAGGCACTTCCAGACTCCAGCATAGATCTTACTTACGGATCACTAAACAAATGCCATTTCATTTTCCATATGACTTTGTCATGACAGTCTTGAAGAAAATGGAGAATCTCTTCTTGGCAAGCTCTTGGCCAAAGTCTCCTTGATTGCATATTTGAAACACTTGTTCAGCTGACATTTCCCCAGTGTGTTACAGAAGACATGATTTTTGCTGCTTTTCAGATACTAGATTAAGTCATGAGAACACCAGAATCTTTGCAATATTTTCATTGATGTCGTAAACCTAGAAATCATCAGCAGGTGTGAAATTTCTACTAACAATGTATTTACTGTCCCAAGCCAGTGACTAAGGCATGGCCCTGATGTTAGGGAATGTGCAGTCTAGTAAGACATGTCAACAGAGCCATGCTCCAGACAGAATAAAATAAATGACAAATGTCTATTACCTGATGGGAGGAGGAGAAAGCACAGAGGATATAAATCTCACTAGGGGAAGACCTCACAGAATCGATGATGTCTGAACTAGGCCTTGAATGAAGAGAAGTATATCAAATGCAGAGAGAATAGAAAAGGTTAACTACAGAACATGTTTAATGAAACTTAAATTCAGTAAAACATTGGGTGAAAGCCTTTTGCCTCCAGAACTGTTTAAGGCTCATGCTCACTGGTGGATCTTAAGTCCTCAGCAACTTGTTTACCTTAGTATGTTTGACTTCATGAATATAATGCCAGTGAAATGGACTCAGATATAGTTTACCTCCAAGCATTTTCAGCCAGAGCTGTGCTTCTTAAAGTTGCTTCTGAAAGCTACCTCGGCCCCATCGCAGACCTGATGAATTCGGATCCCTGCGGTTGGGGCCACAGTGAGGCTATGCTTCACCACTGCTTCAACACCGGCCTTCCATAAGCTCCAAAAAGGGATCTCATCTCCTCAGAACTGTGAATTCATATGTTTACTACATAACGAGCAAATGGAAATGTGGAGAAACTTGTTAAGAAGGGTGCGTCTCATTGATCTTTCTTCAGCCTGTCAGATAATGGGCAGGAACCAGTTGTGGATTCCCTTGCAAGGATTCAACTCCAACTCCCAGTTACTGAATTCTTACAAAACCTAGCATTTTACCACCACCACTAGGATTGACAAAAACAGCCTCCTGTCAAAAGAGATATGTTTCTGGAGCATAAACAGGGCCACTGCAGTAGAATGTGCATTGCACAACATTGTGGGCACCGTTGCCGTTGTGGACACTTTCGATTTGTATATTTATTGTGACAGTTTTCCTGCAGCTGAAAGTACATTGTCTTGCGGAAAGACACCTTTTTAATCTAAACAATGCCTCCACATGGGCCAGCTGTGGCCCTGAAAATAGAAAGCAATGTTTTCTGCGTAGCCCATCTCTTCTTTATTTAACTCCCTGAATTGTTTGGCTCATCGAAGTTGCTCACCAGCATCCTAAGGTAATGCCACATCCTCCTGTTTTCTCTCCTCTTGTGGGGAAGCAGAATTGCTTAATAAGTTCAGAATCAGTCAGATCGCATTCCTGGTAGCTTTTCTTCTGGACCTACAGTTGGTGCCGGTAATCTAGCAAATGTTTCAATTCGGTTCCATAGCAAGTATTGACTATCTCCTACAAGGTGTGCATCAAAAATCTGAAAGACTCAGGAATTGGTATTTGCTAGTATTTCTGTCCTAAAAGTGCATTGCAAATGATCATGGAATACTCACAAAAAAACTAAGAGTGTATGCAAACTTCCAGTAAGAAAACCCCTTAAAAATTCATAACTTTTGGCCAGGCACTGTGGCTCACACCTGTAATCCCAGCACTTTGGGAGACTGAGGTGGGCAGATCATGAGGTCAAGAGATTGAGACCATCCTGGCCAACATGGTGAAACCCCGTCTCTACTAAAAATAGAAAAATTAGCTGGGCATGGGGGCACGTGCCTGTAGTCCCAGCTGCTCGGGAGGCTGAGGCAGGAGAAGCCGGGAGGCTGAGGCAGGAGAAGCCGGGAGGTGGAGGTTGTAGTGAGCCGAGATCACGCCGCTGCCGTCCAGCCAGGTGACAGAGTGAGAATCCGTCTCAATAATAATAATAATAATTCTATAACCTTCATTTAAAATTAACGGAAAGCTGTAATCGATTTTGGCTGCCTGTCAGACATTTTTGTATAAGAGCAAAGCACAGCTATACCTGTCTGTAAAAAACGCTTAGCAGAGAGAGAGGCGCTCCTTTTTGGAATTAATCAGGTCTTCCCTCTGACTGCTCCCTCCAGTCAAGTCTTCTGCTGTATGGACTGTATTTCCAACTCATGTTCCTTGCAACCTACTCTTGGTTGGATTTTGACACCTCTCCATGGTCAGCTGATAGTATTCCTCAGAAACCCTTTTTATACTCAGCCCTAGTATCCTTCTATCAGCCCTGCCCCTTGGATCACAGAGTAAATCCAATCTTCATTATTTTAACCACCTTCCTCCCAACACCTCTTTATCACTGCACATACCATTTTGAATCCACTTAGCCAGGTACAACTACATGGGGGCAAATCCCAATTAGAAATGAAGGCAGGACAGTGGAGACCAGGAGATATATAGGACATTCAAGTTTCCTGCAGGGCATGGGGCCTGTGCTGGCCTCTTTCTGAAGAGTCAGCGGTAGCCCTGCTTACCCACACAGCAGTCACCTTGGTGGTGGCATGGGCCACCTAACACTGATACCCGCTTGCGACTACGTTATTTTTAGCAGAGGCATCAACTAACTCTTCAAGTTTGAAAACTCAGAAACACCTTGAATGCCTTTTTTTCTTTGCGACTCACCCTGCTTAACTACCTGCCCCTATCAACTCCTTTTGTCCCTCCTCTCTCATTCAGCGCCCTTTGGCTTCTTTGACAGCATCCTGGTCCAGCTGTGCATCACTCTGTCCTTGAAATTCTGCAAAAACACTCTTGAAATGTCCTCCTTAACCCTCCTTTCTCCTTCCAGTTCATACTACTGTATCCTAACAGCCTAGTAACACCCATAAAACCAAATCTCAGGACGTTGTTTTCCTACTTTCTTCCCCTTGGCCTATTCAATCCGAACTCTGGCCTTTTCCAAGCACTCTGTAACTTGAATTTCTCTCTCCTTGTGAACATATTTCCCGGAGCTTCCTCCCAGGTGAGCCAGCCCAGCGCCGACACTGTTCCTCAAGCACCCCTCATTCATTGTGGACTCTGTTATGCTGTTCACAGGGCCGCAGTGCCCTTCTCTCCCCTCTCTATATAGACAAGCCTGACTCATTCTTCCTGGTTTACCCCAAGTCTCATCCCCTGTACCGTGAGACTTTTTCAGATGCCCTAACCTGTACTGATTGCCCCTTTCTCTGAGTACCAGTAGCCCTTACTGCCTTAGACGGCTTAGCAGGGCATCTTAACTCTGCCCTGCTGTTGATGACTTCGATGGAGGATGAGCATGTCATTTACTGTGCACACTGGGACACTCTCGAGAGTCGGTATGGTGCTGTTAATTATCTCACTGGGAAAACAGGCGCTTTAAACTTGAACTTTGCTGGGCAGATCGGGATGTACGGTCATGCTGTTTATATTAGGGCATCTTGTCTTCCCAACAAGACTATACGCTCCTGTGGGCAGAGATCATGTTTTATGTTTGCTTTGTATATTCCTTGTCCCGTGAAACAGCACCACTCACATAACTAATGATCAATAAATATAGGAAGGAAGGAAAGAGGGAAGGAATACATCAAAACAGTCCATTTATCTTCTCTGAAAAAGGTGGTTTCTTAAAAATCAAAACAGTACTCCCACATTGGATGCATACAGGGCATGAATAACAAGATAACTACACAACTTCTCCATGACAAGTTGGAAAAGGGCAGCTGAAATTCAAGGAAGTGGAGTATAAGTTTGAAGATTAGAAGAAACAGCAGCCACAGAAAGATCAAGTGGCGGATAGGAATCAAGGATAGTGTAATCTTGTCGATCAAAAACATCAAGGTAATCTAAAATAAAAAAGCTAAGTTTGTATTTAATGGGGGCTGTGAAAGCATTGATCACTGTTAAATATCGAAGAGAAACCTCCACAGTATGCCACATGGGAAGTGTAGTATGTCGTGCTTTCGTTCATACTACAGAGGAATCATCCTCAAAAGATGAAGTGTAATCATTTTATTGTGGGATTTTGGTTTCAATAAACCTAGTAACGGAATCCATAGTTAGGCTAAATGTGCCCTTTCCTAGTTTTCCTACCTGAAGACTCCTTGACGCATCTGTATACTTCCCCTCCAGGTATATTTTAGCCTTTGTCCTAGCAGCTTGGTGCCCGAAAGAGTGAAGATCAGATAAAAGTCTGAGAACTCCTGTCAGCCTCAGAATGTAAACCCCAAATTTTCCTACAGCTGATCCCAATGAGAAGGGAGTTGCCACCGTGTAAAAAAGAACAGGAAATTGAATTCTACCTCTGAGGCACAGGCCCTGTCCTAACGCCCCAGTGTCCACGGTGGGACAGTGCATAAACCTCCACTGATGGGTGAGACCCCCGCCCCGCGCCCACCTCCCCAGCCCCTCACCCTTCCTTCTCCCAGCCTCTGTCACCTCTGGGTTGGGGTCTGACCTGAGCCTCCCCCCCATGTTATAATTTACCCTGACACTGGAGGCATTCATTCCAGACCTCCTGGCGAGGGGGTAAACTCAGCACCTCGTGGAATGACTTTCAAAGTTCATATACTGAGAAACCTTCACTTTAGAAACAGAAAAACTCATGACTTTTTCCTCATTCATTTGTCTAAAGAACGGTCAAGCCCAGTAATGTGTGGAGGGAACGCACGTGTTTTATGCCACTTGCCTAAGGCCTCTGAGCTGGTGATTCCCAATCTTAAATTTTGTGTTGCTTAAGCCTCAGCATTCATTCTATAAAATAAATAAACGAGTTATATGAAACATAGTGCACCTTCCAAGTAGAATTTCTATAAATCCCTAATTATTATTATTATTTTTTGAGACAGTTTCTGACCTGTCAACCAGGCTGGAGTGCAGTGGTGTGATCTTGGCTCACTGCAACCTCCGCCTTCCAGGCTCAAGCAATTCTCATGTCTCAGCCTCCCGAGTAGCTGGGACTATAGGTGTGTGCCACCATGCCCAGCTAATTTTGAATTTCTAATAGAGAGGGGGTTTCGGCATGTTGACCAGGCTGGTCTTGTACTCCTGACCCCAGGTGATCCGCCTGCTTCAGCCTCCCAAAGTGGTGGGATTACAGGCATGAGCCACTGCGCCCAGCCTATTAAATCCATAATTTTGAAACATTTTTCTTTGCTAATAAAAAAAAAATGGATTCAACAAACATCATTACACTAAAGTTTGTTATTACCCAGATCTTAATACTTAGTAAATATGATGTAACCATTGAAATACACCAGCCATGTTAAACAAAGGCATGGCACAACTCACCAAAGGAGAATTCTTCTTGTTTCCCAACAGTTGTATTATAAATGGGTGCCTCCTTAAATTGATAGAAATTAAAAATAACCTTGTTTAATTTGAGAAACCACTATCAGCACTTTTTGGCACTTCCTTTTGGACAGAAATGTCATAGTAGCAAAACTGAATGAAGGAGGACAAGGGATATTGTTGTCTATCCCCCCACCCCCGCCAACACACACACACACACACACAGAAAAAGAGAGAGAGCGCGCTCTGGCCTCAAATCGGTGAGAATCACTGGGATTCAACAAGACTCTTCAAGCCTCAGAGCCCCACCAGTGTGGGGATAATGAAGGGAGCACTGTGGGATGTAGGTTCACTCCTGACTGTCATTCAAGCTCTTGAACCATCACTTTCTCCAGAAAAAAAGTGTGGCTTCACTAACTTTTAAAGTCTCCAGTTAATAATAAAAGCCTCCAGGTCAGAGATTCTGTGGTTCAGAGATGATAGTCCAAATTCTCAGAAGTAAACCTGAAGAACCAGATAAATATGGCTGGGAATCAATTTTACGGATATCTAGGGCCCTTTTCATTACATCAACCAACTGAAAATAACAGCCCCATACAGTAGCGGTCAGCACTAAGATGAGACGGTCCTCACGGCCAGCTTTTGCAGTCCTTGACTTTTGTGTCTATACGTCTGACTGCCCCGCAGGCCAGCTCCTGCTAAGGTCTCATGTCTGTAACTCAGTAGGATATTCTCGTTTCATCTGTAAATACTTTGTCTGCAATACTTTTTTTCCTTAATTTGAAGGCATCATTTTTAGGTGCATTAGTTGATGGACTGTGCTAAATTCTGATTGTCAAACTGAATCTGAAATGAACTTCAGGGCTCAGTATGAGACCTCTGGCTATTTACTGAAGAAGTGCTTCCTTCAGTTCCTTCAAGTGAAGTAACAGACCAGAGAAAAAACTTTCTCAGATTTATTCTTTCACCAACCATACATTCATACCTGCCTATTATGTGCCAGCAGTGAACGGAAGATGTGATCTCTGCCCTTGCTTTGAGTGTGCAGTCTTGATGAACACTGGACATTATTATTTTAAAAAATCACTGGTTAACGAACTCAGGCAGGCCTTATCGGGGAAGGTCACATCTCAGTTGAGACCTGAAGGATGAGATGTACTGCTGTCTTCTCTGTTATTCCCCGAAGGCAAATTCCTGAGTCTTCTCCCAGCTCCCTTTTAAAGATAGCTTTTGGTGCTTATCCCAAAAGTGTGTGTGTGTAAGGAGTATAATTGAAATCTAGTCAGCATTGACATTTCTGTGGCATAGCCCTAGGAGAGATTTTCTGATTTGTTCACAGGCTGAAGAATGACATTTGTCCCCATTAGCAGTAGTCTTT